TTTAGTCTAAGCCTTGAAAGCTCTTCATTCCACCACGGACACTTCCTTTTGCTCCGCCTCGGCTTAGCGCGGCAGCTCCCGTGATAGACATTAGTAATAGCCGCCGTCAGGGCCTCGCTGGCCAGTTCGATATCCATCACCCTTCTCACAGAAGCAGGAACGAATCCAATCCCGTCCATGAGGAGCGTTTCGATTTGACTCCAATCTGTGGATTGGGGTACCCGATATATTTCTTCTGCCAGGCCCCCGGAGACCGTGATATCAAACCTAATCTGCCTATTATCGGACATGGATGTCTCATTTGAGACATGCCATCCACCAACCCTCATTCATAACCATTAATTTATTGTTATATATGAATTCAAGTAGGCACTCACCTCTTTTGTTTATATTGCTGCTTCCCCAGACGGTGTGGTGGGCATTGGCATCACTTCCTATTATAAGTTGGAAGTTCCTTCTTCCACAAAAGTCCACTAGATCCTTCAATTGCTCGTCCGGGTGGGCACAGTCCCCCGGGAGGTAGGATGAGCACACAATAAACTCTGTCCAGCCCCCGGAGGACTTCATCTTCACCAACGCAGCTACTTGATCCTTAGAACAGTAATCTGGAATGGGAAAATACGTTAGCCTTTTACTAAACAAAGTGCAAACCCTAGGCCTGCCCCCAATTGTATTATCATACCCTTAACCTGATCCTTCACTATGTAAGGATCTTGGATAAGGGCAATATCGAGGTGATCCTTCATAAATCTATGAGCTAGAACATCAGTAGATGCCCTAGCATGCAGTAGATTTATTTGGATGCACCTCACAGCCATATCATTTCCTCCGGCTGTTGTCTATGGGCTTTGGTCCTTTAGACAAAGGCTTTACATGAGCCTTACCTCCCATTGCCGCCTTTTTACACATCTTGGTGGGCGCCTGCCCTGCCACAGCCTCTTTTGCCGTCCCAGGTGCCACGCTAGCCCCTCCAACTGCAAATACCGAAGCAGTTCCGGGCTTCCCAATGGGCTTGAGCCCTTTTCGATGGTCGATGGTCCGTCCGATTTCCTTGCCGCCATTTTCGGAGCGACTTCAGTCTTTCCAATGAGTTTTGGCTCTTTCGGTTGGCCTGAAGTGCTCGTCGTTGTCGCGGTGGGCATTGGTTTTTTATTTTGTCCTGCCCTACCGCCAGCACCTTGAGAGGATTTTCTTCCTTTAACCCGAACGGTAACACGGAAGAAATTCAGGAAAAGTCGGAACTCCGCATTCCGTAGATCTTCCAATCCGGAATCATCCACGGAAAAGGTGATGGAGCAGCCTCCGTCCTTTTCTTTTCCGGGATTTTGCTTCCCTATCCTACTTAGAAATTTGTCCCTGGAGAGACTGACGGTTGTCTCATCCTTTGGTACGTAGGTGACGCAGACATGCTGTTTGGGCATGTCGTCGCCATCCAGTACCACGACGTCGCAACCGTCCCAAGACTTTATCTTTCTGCAGACACTGGTTATCCACTCCCTGGTGTTTTGATTGTTGCATGTTACGGATATCCATCCGTCCCTATGCAACGCTGCAGTGAATTGTGGATGAGAGTCCACAACTTTATCCATTTCATCCATGATGGCTACTTTGATTTTCCCCTTCTGAACTTCGGAAAGCCTTTCCTGTGGATGCAGTCTATGAGTGATGGCCACCTTGACCTGTGCTACTGCATCTCGATAAGAAGTCATTTTCGGGTTTTGTTGAGGAATGTTCCCAGGGACCTTTTCCTCAACATTGCCCTTCATCGACCTCTTTTTTGAGGGTCCTGCATCACGGGTGTTACTTTCCGACCTTTCCCTCTTCTGGGGATGGTCGGCCACAACACCCGATCTGCAGGCCTTCAGCTTTTCCAGCCTTTCCTTCTCATATCTGCGAGTTTCCTCTGGGGACATGCCATCCCTGATATAAGCCGCAATATGCACCAGAGAAATATTGTTTTTTTCCCCTGATGTCCAACCTTTTCAGGTCCTCCGCAATTTGTTGGATAATAGGTCCAAGAGGATCCTGATTATCCGTCTCCATCGGAAGCGCCGCCTTTTGCTCTACTGGTGTGAGGAGGACTTCCTCCTCTGCGTCAGTCGAGTGAAGCTCTGGTTCCGAAGACCCTTGAGCACTAACTGGGTTTGTATTAATGTTGTCCTTAGTATTGTTGTTGATGTTGTAATTGTCACTGTTGTTATTGTTGTTGTTGTTGTTGCAGTTGTTGTGTTTGTCACAGTTGTTGTTCTTGTGTTTGCTGTTTTTGTTGTTATTGTTTATGTTCTCCATTTTTAGTCCCACGAATAGCGCGGGATAGTAAAGTCACCCATGGCAGAGCCCGGCATATGGGAAGGCTCGTTTAAACTGGAGGGTGCCTGGTATCCAGAGTCCGCATACTAATGACTAAGCTCCCCCTTAGCCACGCAGTCATCGGCATATGGTGTTTCACCTTGACTTGTGACGCCTGTCGTCAGCTGACGTATAGTTATAGGGCTGAAACTCACAAAGTAAGAGGCTCGCCGCGAGACATGACCTCGACACGAATGTAACTTTGATCGTTTCAATCACTCCTTTATCTTCCGCCATTACCGGGGCCCACCACTAGGAAGTGACAGTGCGGTTTCGGGCCCCAAAAATAATACCTTAATAAGCCCAAACAACATGTACCTATAAGCAGGACCAACTACAATTAAATACCTGCCTTTCTGATTAATTAATCCTATTATTGCCTGATCCTAATCCTAGAAAATTTAGTTATTTCCCACTTAGGATAATTTCTTATAGATTATATCTAAAAAAAAAAAAAAGACCTTAAAACACATAATGCAATACAGTGAAACTGCAATATCTCGAACTATCTCAGAAAAGTGTATGAGTAAAAAAATATTGAATTAGAGGAACTAAACAATGTTCATAAATAAATTAAAGAAAACATGACAAAATTAATGAAAAATTTATCTTATACAAAGTACGAAATAGAGAAGTTTGACTGTATAACAAATTCTTTCTAAAATAAATTATGTTAAAATTGAAAATTTGCATGAAATCACTCAAAACAACTATGACATCAATGCTTTTCTTTTTTTTCACTATTCCCACTTTCTATTTCCTTTTTCTCAAAAAACCACTAAACTTGATATCAATGTTACACAAATTTCTAATAATTTTCGAAAATAACTGGCAACCTTAACTGACTACACATTCATAGAATTATGTTTTGTAAATGTGCCAACCCAACCAATTTTTATTTTATATTTTTTGTTTTTTCTTTTACAATAATTTTCTTTGCTTTATGCTTGCATACTCCCATATTTTTTTTCAACTTTTTCCTTTATTTTCCTCTTTATTTTTTTTTTTTAGACACATTAACATTGAAATTATAAAATATATTCTGACAGAATAAACAAATTCATATCTAATTCCCTAAAGGAATTTAACGTACATATTATTACAAAAACAGAATATTAATATTTATATTATAAGAAAAATGTACACCTCTTAATAAAAATATATTTATAATATGCTTGTACTCATGTTTGTTTAATATTATTCATAAAAATATTATGTACATATATGTATGTGAGTACACATGTATTTTATGTAATAATAAATATGTAAATAAAATATTATATAAATTTGTTGTATAATTTTTTTTTATGTATTTTTAAATAGACTCAAGAATAATATTATGCAAAAATTTACTGCGAAGGAATTTTTAACATTGAAATTTTACCAACAATGAAATAAAGTCATAACTTTTCGACTTCGAAATATTCCCAGTTTCGTATTAAAATTTTTGACAAATTCAGAAATTCTCAATCTTATAATGAAAAACACAAATCTGCGTATATTTTTAATGCTGAATGCCGAAAAACTCCAGTAGTATTTGAATTTCTGTGTAGGGCTGAGATAGAAGCCAATTTGTTTCTCATATTTTTACTAACTAGAGGCTTTGAAATATACCTATCTCTCGAATATGTGTTTTACAAAAATTCAATGCGATTGTAGCTTACTTTAAGTAATTCGATGATTAACCAATCCCTTTAACTTTCTATGCTTTAATGCCAATGTGATCTACGAAACCTGTATAATTATTTTATAATTATTGTAATTTTTATATACATATTTAATTTTATACATTATTTACACCTAAATGTTCTCGTTTAAAACATCGAATTAAATATTATGAGAGAAAGATTAAAAACATTAGCAAGTATACACGCATACGCACTTTTTTTCACTCGGCGTATCCTAAAACCAAAAGTCAAGAACAAGCAAAAAATTTTCTCTACATTCAAAATCATAATATTTTATTAACATAATTATGTACATACATATAAATATTATTACAAATCTTAATATTTTTTTTTAAGATCCCATATCCTTTTTAAGTGTAATATCCTTTACATAAAAAAAAAATGAAAACAAAACGTGTTTTGCAATTTCTTCTCAGGCCTCCAATACTCCATAAGAAATAAATTAAGTTAATAAAAATTTAAAGCAATAAATAAATTAAAAAGGAAAATTTCTGTTCAAATGAAACATTTAAACTGTTATACTAGGGAATTTACAGTTTTAAACAGCTACATAATATTTTTATTAAAAATTTAATATTAAATTAGTTTTAAGATTGTATATGACGTTGCTTCTTAATATCATCCTTAATTGCTAATATTCGCAAGTAAGTCGGAAAAAATTAAGCGCAAGTTTTTTTAAATTCAGAATTCAAGGTGGCATGAAGATAACCATAAGCTTCTGAATTTTAATTAGATAAGCTTCCGAATTTAAAAATATTTAAATTTTATTTCTCAAACTGGCCACATACATTTCTTGTACCTTTTGTGTGCTTTTCCATCCTGTAAAGTATTTTAAATTTCCAAAATAAAATATCAAATTCATTTTATTTAAGACTATGAAACATAAAAACTGGAATTTTATGAAATTTTTAATTTATAACATTTATACACATAATTATATAAAATAATTTTTTAATAAATTTTTTATTTAATTTTATTCCTAGATCTCTTATTTGAATAGCGACAGCAAGTATCACCACTACCAATACAAGCTGCATATCCCATTAAATGTGGAATTAAATTTTGCTCATATGTTCCGGAAAATAAATGTGCCCAAGGACCTGTATTATATAAAAACAATTTTAAATTATTGAATTATTTAAAAATTTTTAATATTTCGGACCTGATGCAAAAACAGGAACATCATCACCTCCATGTGTCTCAGATTTCAACGGTACATTACTGGGATATGAAAAGTCTTTATCATCTGAAATTGAGAAAATTATTTTTTTTTATAATTATTAAATAAAGTTTGATTTAAAAAGAAATCACAATACTCACTAATATCATCTTTTTCCAAATTTATTCTTGATCCATTTAGTGAACGTTTTGTATCAGGACCATTTGCATAAGATAATGTTGCATATGGTAAACCATCAATATTACTGCGTAATGAATTTAAACCTAATATATCATTATTTAGAGTTGAATATCCTGATATACTCATTGTATGAGAATGATCAGCTGTAACTACAATTAATGTATCTTTTGATGATGTCATTTCTTTGGCTATTCTTATCGCTTTTGAAAATTCAATAGTTTCATCTAAAGCTTTTCGTGTTAATGTTGAATGATGTGCGATATCTATATGCCCACCTTCAACAAACAAATAAAATCCGTTTGTTCCTTTTTGTAAAATTTCAATTGCTGATGCAGTCATTTCAGCTAAACTAGGTTCTTTCCTATCAATATTATCTAAATTAAATTTCATATGACTATCAGCAAATAATCCTAATAGATGATCTGTTTTTTGAAAATCTACATTTAATAATTGATTACGATTTGAAACATAAATAGCATTTCCATCTTTATTATTATTGTACCATTTTTGTATTAAATCTTCTCCATCTAATCTTTCACCATATCCATATGCAGTTGCTTTTTCATAACCTTCAATTGGTAAGAATTTTTGACGACCACCACCCATTATAACATTTAAATATCGTCCCGGTAAATCTTCAATTAATTGTTTTGCAATATCTTTACAATATTTATATCCTGTTATATTTTGATCTATTTGTATTATATCCAAATCACTTTCCATATTACGATTAGATATATGAGCATAATTTCCAGCTGGTGAAGCATGTGTTACACGTGTTGTTGTAACAATTCCTGTCAATTTATTTGCTTTTTGTGCCCATTCTGCTATAGAAGAAACATGATTTTGACGATTTACAGCTGATTTACAATCATTTTCTTTGACTTTTTCAGTAACACCAATTGTTCGAAAATTACCCTTAACTCCACCTAAATATGCTGTTGCAGAACAAGCTGAATCTGCTACTTGGCTATCAGCACAATATGTCTAAAATTTTAAACATTTTAATTAAAGTCATACAAAAAAAAATATACAATTTTTTATTACCTTGGACAGTCCGGAATATGAAAACTTGTCAAATTCTAATCCATCAGTATGGCCTGTTAAATTTAATCTTTGTTCAAGATGAATTCTTGCTGCTGTAACAGTTGGAACTGACATACCTGTGTTTAAATTATAACATAATCAAAAATACTTATATTTTAATTCGCCCTCATATTATTAAGTGAGCGCTAAATTTAAAGTTAAATTAATCAAGCACATTGAAAATTTCAAATAACATCTTAATAAGTTCAAATTTAATTTTAATTGAAATTTTATTTTAAACGGTCATCTTAAAGAAATTTTAATATTATCATAAATTTAAAATGAAATTAATTAAAGAAGAATTCAGAAAAACCATTGCAAGTCATTAAGAATTTTTGGTTGAACGATCACTGCTGTAACATTACTTTATTTCTCTAATGTCATTTCCGAAAATGTAAGAGTGATTTAATAGCAAAATTAATAAGACCCGATTGAAATTCAAATCTGTTTCATTCTAAAACGAATCTATACAAAATTATTGATCCCCCGTCTTGAAAGAATCTTCTCAATTTTGTGCATAATCCACTTTGGAATTTAAGTAACTTGTACTTACCATCTCCCAAAAATATTATTACATTTCGTGCCTCTTTTTTATTTTGTTTAATATTCAACTTTTCATGTAAACTATCTTGAGCATCATAAAACCATTTTGTTTGAAACTGCTCTTCTTCAAATTGAATTTCTAAAAGGAAACATTACCAAATATTCTCATATTAATAAAACATTAAAAGCTAATTAATTATACAATAACTGGTATACTACGAGTATTTACCATTTAAATAACCATAAGGTAAACAGTTAATTTCACTAAAAACTATCATAATTAATATCGTAAATTTGAACCTCTTTACTACTAACATAAATAATAATTCTTTAATATTTCGCATCATTTAAAAAGACGCGATTTCAACAATGTTAAACCTATTGACGTAAAATTCACAAAAATACTAAACAGAATGTAAAATTTTTTAACAAATTTAAATACTTTAACAGTGTATTTTTTTTTTTTTTGTTATTTTTTTTTTTAAAAATTGTGATTACACGCTTTTGTCATTAAATTGAATTTAAAGTTACTGAGCATATCTATAAAGTTAAAGTCATACCTACAAATACTCTCTTCAGCTGATTTATTACGTTTATGCTTTGTTCTTGTGATTATATTGATTTTTAATTTGGAAAATTGTTTAAAATACCTACCGCATGATAAGTGATAATTAGATGCGTACCTGAAAATATTAATTAGTAGGTAAAAACAACAAAAAATAAATTACACTTGACCATGATATTGAAATTGCGTTTTTAATAGCAATTTTGAATTTTCATTTTCATAAAACAAGGAAATTTATTTAATTTATTAATTTTTTACGCAAAATTTTTAATGGACACTTTGATCAAGTGTGCAAAACAGTCAAAGGATATTCTTTTAGCTTTTAATTTCATAATATTCTCTAAAAATTTTAGTTGACACAACACTTTATTTGGATTTTTTCTGCATTAAGAATGAGAGAAAACTTTGATTATGTTCTTCAATAAAAATACTGTCATGAGCAATTCTGATAATTTTTAAATATTGTCCCATTAAATATTATAGAAAAATTTAATTAACATGGTGTAAGTAATAAGTACATAAGTCATATACTTATGAACTCTTTCTATTAAAGAGACTTATTCTGCTTAAATCTGATTCTCATTCTAAAAACAAACTGCTCAAATAATATTTTTGCAAATTCATATTTTCATTAAATTCGTATTAATTGAAATTAGTTTCGAATTTAAGATTCAAATTTAATCTCCCTAAGTTAAATTTGACTCTTTCGTAATTTTTCACAATTTTAATGCTACATTCGAATAAATATGAATGATCTTGATTAGTTTTAAAGTTCTTTTAAGAAATTTAGATTTCACTCAAAATTTTAAATCTTAATTACTAAACTTCATTTTCTCGAAACACGATGATGCGTATAAATAACTTTTTGACACATCTGGAATTCTGGAAAAATGCCTTAAAAAGTCCGTCTGTCAACCCGTTTGTCTATCCATAAATAAATGTAATAAAATAATTTTTAATGCATCTGCTCACCTTTAGTTAATACCTTTCAGTTGTTTGCCCCAAAATCGTAAGAACAAACAATTATTAATAAATTTCAATAACCAATTTAATTTTTGCTCTTCTAATATTTTACTAAATATTATTTTATAAAACAAATATAGAATTGACTAAAACAATATGACTTTCAGAATAAACCATAAAATTGTAATTATTTGTCAAAATAAACATTCATTGCCTATATTGATTGTTACACATCTACAAATATTTAGAAATTAAATTAACAAAATTGAGGTTTTCGTTAACCGTAACCATATTTTTTTGGTATATTCCAAGTATTCCAGACTACTAGGTTGTTCATTTAACTTTCATATAGCAATCATAAAGCAATTACTGTTTGAGTAAGTCAAATACAAGACATTTATGACAGTAAATATAATATTGTTGTGATAGTAACATATAAGTGGCTTGCAAAAAGTTAATATCTTATTGTATCAATTAAATAAACTGTTATATAGCATTAAAAAAGAAAATATTTACAATATTATTTTGTGTTACACCTTAACTAAAAATAAATTGTTAAAAAATTACATTTTACGTTAAAATTTTCGTTATTTTACCACATCACAATTTATTTTTGGAATGGTATAAATACTCGTAAAGTGTAAATAATACGCGAATATTAACAACAAAAATGTTTGTGTTTATATGCTTGTGTGCTAGATATTGATGACATCCTTAATAATGTTAATTATCTTAAAAGGTTTTTACTACGTTTATAATTGCTATTTTTATTATTCAGGTAGAATTTAAATTATTTTTTCACGCAAAACCCGCAAAAAAAAAAACAAAATTCTCTTTTTTTTACTTTATTCCTTCTACAAAATATTTTTATACATTCTAATTTTAGATATAGTGTATATCACCTTTACCAACAGGTAAAAGACATTTATGAAGGGTGACAATAATAACAAAACAGTTTAAATAAAAGTATGTTACTGTCACTCTTATAAACATTTACAGATTATACATATAGGTCAACAGCAACTCTAGGATATCAACCTAAATAGCAAAATCAATTTTGCTCTATTAAAATATACTCGTAAAATGGCTTAAAATAAAGCAAGGGCTACTATATTTAATCAGTCACTACTTTAAAATAAAATATGAGATTAAAATAAGGCATAGAGCTAGGATGTGACTCAACCCTATTTGTATGATCATGTTTCAGTTCAAACGCTATCATGCAAATCAAAAGCACCATAAAAAATTCAATATGGTATAGATGTTGGTAAATATTTTGTATGACGCGTCTCAAACCAAAGTATAACATCTGCATTTAAATCATCAAAGCAACAAATTCTACATACCTAAATACTTATGTATGTCATACGCATATATTTTAATTGTAAGGGTGAAAAAAAAAATGTTATAAATTTCAATTTTCAAAATTGACCTAGTTTTAATCCTCGGTTTTAGATTATTTATACTCGCATTAATAATAATTACATATGTATAACATTATTATTATTATTACATTCATTATCATGTATAATATTTAACTAACTGCTATACAGCATGTGGTATTAACGATATGTAAGTAATTCAAATTAAATTTTATGATTAAAATATTTATACATACAAACATATGTACATGTAATCGAATAATGTTCTCTAAGTTCGGGAAAAAAAATTAATTTGAATATCTGAAATTAAATGAAATTTTATGAAGAGCAAAATGATAAAAATTGTAATTTTTGTAGGTTGAAGGTTAACTTGCATACCTACTTGGTTTTTTTTTCCAAGTAAAAACCAAATAAATATGTATATTAGTATAGATAGATAAATAAAATCAGCTGGTTTGAATTTTATATCAAAAATATGCTTAATTTTTTACGGTATTAAATAAATAAAATATAACATTGCTTTAATACTGATGTCATTACCTACATATGATTATAAATGATATATGAAGTATATAAATGAATTTTCAAGTATAAGGCAATTGTTATACCGCTTTGCTCACCTGTTTTAAGTATATAGTCCGTAATACAAATAAAACTAGAATGGCAACTTTGTGTACAAAATTTAAATTCGAGTATCCTGAAAATACAGCCGATTCAGACTAAAAATAGTAATCATAAGCTATCACTCGGTGATTACGGAGCAAGATGAGTAATATTTTGAAAAAATTCAAGAAAATTCACTATTTTTGAAATATTTTGGAATTCTTTAACTGCATTTTTTGACTTAAATTTCGTGTATCAAATTCAATTGTAGTGCCCAGTGCCAACTTCGGAAACTATGTACAGCTAAATTTTTGTTTATATTATACATGCTTACATTTGAACGTCACTTTGGTCTTTTAAAACAAACTCTTCCAGTCGTTTCCTTATAGTGATCTGAAGAAAGGAACTAGAAACCAAACTGGAAAGGAACTCTTCACAAAACAATATTGGCAACTTCACAATTATTGCCATTTCTTAAATTTTGAGCAAAAAAGCACTCTATCGTGCTATTTCTGCTAATTAATTTTCGAATTAATCAGTTTTTAAATATAAATTTTTCGTAAAAATTATACGAAAAATAATCGTAAGCATTCTCAAGATTTCGTTCCAATCGGATAACTAATATTATTTATGTATACAAAATTTAGTGACTTTGTTTTTGAAGACGTTCAGTTGAAAATTTGAGAAAAAATGCAACCAATGGAAAAAATGAGTAATCTTTTTAGAAGAATGAAATGTCCGCATTAAAACAGCTGTGGATTATGATTTGAAAGTAAATAAAAAGTGAAATGAAATTAAGAGATACACGATTAGGCTCATAATGTCGAAACTAATATAGGAAATAACAAACTAACATTCTAATAAGAATTTTTTATGTGTATGTAAATATTTTTAAATGTCAAAACAGAAATTTTACCAATCATATAAGTTTCCGGCTAAAAAATTATTTTTAAATGAAATTTTCAAAATTGACCGCCCTTCAATTCTTTATTACTCGTATTATGCACAAATAGGAAAAAGCGAAGGCCAATTTTAATAAAAAAAAAAAAAATTAAAAATTTCATTTGATTGACTTTCTTTTTTAAAAAATAAATCCGACTTTTATTTTAACTTTTATAACATTTTCTTTATATAAAAATAATTATTATTACAATTTTAATCATAATTTCTCTTATACTACGATATTATTTTAAAAAAAGAAAATAGAATATTAAGAAAACTTATTTAACAAAGAGAACGTATTCAAATTTTTCTCTCTCTTTTTCATTTTATTTTTAATATGAAAATATTTTAGAATTTTCTTACGAACGTTCTTCAGTTTCGTAAGTATAAAATCTCTTTTTTTCTACAAAAGTTTATTGTTCTTCTTTACTCCTTACTCTCTTAATATGCACTCAAAAAGAAAATATTATTCTTTTGAAAATTCTTGAACTGAATATGGCGAATTATTATTTTTTTATTCCATTTTCTTATAATTTATATAATATTATAGAGGAAGAGAAAAAAAAGAACCATAGTTGAATTCAATTATTTGTTCTTAAAAACGATATTAAAACTTTTCCGACGACCCATCTTGTATTTTTTCTTTTTTCCATTTAATTTTCTTATCAAACAAGAATTTGTTCATGCAAAAACCTTCTGAAATTTCTTTTACTATTTCTATAATTTCATATTGATTTTTGTATATGAGATAAAAAAATAAAAGGATAATAAAATTGTATTCTTGTTTCTTATCCTGTTTTTCTTGTTTCCTTACACTATTTTT